AGGGCCAAACTACACAGCCTGGGAATGGGGAGACTGTGTGAAATGGGCAGGGGGAGTCAGGGAGAGGGATGGTGAGAAAGAGAGCATCCTGTTGCACTCAGCATCTCTGCTTCTGAGGGGCACGGGGACCACTCTGGACCACAAAAAGACCTCTGCAGCCTCCAAGCTGAGAGAGGCTTTGACACACACCCGCACATGCCATCGCCAAACTACACAGCCTGGGAATGGGGAGACTGTGTGAAATGGGCAGGGGGAGTCAGGGAGAGGGATGGTGAGAAAGAGAGCATCCTGTTGCACTCAGCATCTCTGCTTCTGAGGGGCACGGGGACCACTCTGGACCACAAAAAGACCTCTGCAGCCTCCAAGCTGAGAGAGGCTTTGACACACACCCGCACATGCCATCACACCACATCTGGGCCTACAGGGGGAAGGAAAAGCTGGGGCGCGCCTGTCACGTCGCAGCACGCCGCTCTGAGCTAGGAAACTCACCAAAGAGGGAGAGGGAAAAGCAGGAGGATTCCTGCAGTGAAGGTATCCCTGAATATCATATCCCTGCTGGTTTTAGAAGAAAAACAAAAGTTGCTTTTCCTGTTGTGGGCACACAATCTATTAGCAGTTCTCCCAAAGACTGTCCCCCTGAATAGTGATAGAAATCTATGCTATCATGTGCCGAAAGTGTCCGTCTGCTATGTACATTGGACAAACATCTCAGACACTTCGCCAAAGGATTAATGCCCACAAAACAGATATCAGACAAGATCACAAAGAGAAAACAGTTTCTTGCCACTTTAACCAGAAAGGACACTCTCTAAATGACTTAGCCACCTGCATTCTGCTACAAAGACCTTTTACATCTGCACTTGAAAGGGAATCCTCTGAACTGTCATTCATGTTAAAATTCGACACTTGCCAACAAGGACTTAACAAACATTTGAACTATCTCACCCATTACCAAGACAGTTTCCCCAATTATCACCTGTAATACCATTAACTCACAAACATCCCACTCTCCCTACCTTTAATATCAGCAATTCACAGACACTTACCTTCCTTCCTCCCCCTTCCCACCCCCCCGCATCCCCCTTCTGTTCTGCAATGTGATTTGTCCTTTTCATATTTGTTCATTTTTTTAAATTGTATCCTTTGGTATATATGGTTGTGACTACTTTCTTCCACTATTTGATCTGAGGAAGTGGGTCTGGCCCACGAAAGCTCATCATCTAATAAACCATCTTGTTAGTCTTTAAAGTGCTACATTGTCCTGCATTTTGCTTCAACTACCCCAGGCTAACACGGCTACATTTCTATCACCAATCTCCCTGAACAAACTACTAGCTGAGACAGGGCAATTGTTAATAGGTTAAGTGCAAAAGCCCCACAAGGATGGTCCACTAACATATCTGTCACACATTGGAGGCCCAGATATAATCTTTTTCCAATGATCACACCCCACTGCCTCGTAAACCAAGAGTAGCTGAAACCTGAGTGGTGATGTGACAGCAATGCCCATAGCACTGCCATTGCTGTAGTGTGGGCATGGAGCCAGCTTGCTTGTTTTCCAGGAAACTCTAACCACAACCACAAGGGCCTTCCTTCCTCAACCTGCCAGGATTACAGTTCCAGTGCCAGGGCACCAGGTGTAGCTGCAGGTGGTACGTGCCACCTCAGCAATTAAGTCCAGTATAGTGCACATATTTAATTAGGAAGTTACTTCTGCTCCTGGTTTTTAACATGTTAAAATCCTAATGCAGACAAGACAATTTGCAGTTTTAACTCATTAGCCTGATAGGCTCTTTCCTAGGGATTGCTTTGACCTGCTTACATGTTAAAATTACAGCTTGCTATATCAACACCAGGATGCTAACAAGTATTAGAACACACATCTCTTTTTTTTCCTAGAGATGGCAAGACCATTATTTAATTTTTCCTGTTATATTGTACATTTTTTCATTGTCAGTGGAGTAAGAGTGGTTACTGCTGCTGTGGCAATTTCAGCAAGAATCCATGTCTGGGAAACCCAGATATGAAAAGTTGGTTTCTCAGCGCATGTGAAGTGGGTCTGTTGTAAGTTCTATTCAGAGATTTTTCAGTTGAGGCATAAGTCACATAGGGTACGTCTAAACTACATGCCTCCGTTGACGGAGGCATGTAGATTAGCCAGATCGGCAGAGGGAAATGAAGCCGTGATTAAAATAATTGCGGCTTCATTTAAATTTAAATGGCTGCCCCGCTCTGCCGATCAGCTGTTTGTCGGCAGATCTGGGCAGTCTGGACACGCCGCGCCGACAAAGAAGCCTTTCTTGATCGGCACAGGTATGCCTCGTGAAACCAGGTTTACCTGTGCCGATCAAGAAAGGCTTCTTTGTCGACGCTGCGCGTCCAGACTGCCCCGATCTGCCGACAAACAGCTGATCGGCAGAGCGGGGCAGCCATTTAAATTTAAATGAAGCCGCAATTATTTTAATCACGGCTTCATTTCCCTCTGCCGATCTGGCTAATCTACATGCCTCCGTCGACGGAGGCATGTAGTTTAGACACACCCATACTGAGCTGATAAACTTTCAGCTTTCAAGAAGTCTTTACATTTCCAGTAGTTGTTACCTCCCCTCCCAGGATCAGAAGACAAAGAAGGCCAACCATTTTAAAGTATGAAGCCCTTCCTGAAATGTAAGACTAAAAATGCTAAATTGTTAAGTAATCGGATTTATTTTAAGCACTTCACAGTGCAATGTTGAGTTCTGTTTATGCTTAATATTCTTTGCATAGAAATGGACAAATTATTATAGCATGCATTATGGTAGAAAGAGTCTAACCCAGGGCCTGAGAGTGATTAAATAATATTACTCAGTACTCTACATTTTGTAAGCACTGTTCAACTATTAGCAGGGTTAATGAGTTAAACCTCATGACCCTGCTATGAGATAGGTATAAATATCCCCATTTGGGGAAACTGAAGCAAAGAAAGGATAAGTGATTTATCCAAGCTGAGCTGATGGTAGAACTAGATCTCAGTTCCTCGTTTTTAGCTCCATGCTCTATCCGCTTGATCACATCTAAAAGAGTAATGTTTTTAACATTTTAAATTGAGCAAAGGTGAGCTGTGCCAGAAGCACCCCTGGACAGCAACACAGAAGAAGGTTTGGGCATCCACTGATCTCTTTGCAATGATGGAACCCCAAAAGTCAAGATAGTGCAGTGTGGCAATCATGTAACAAAGCAACTTTTACCTTCTAGATTTCTTTAAAAAGGGTGACTAAGTTCAGCTGTATGGATTTGAATTAGATTCTGTGCAAAACCATTCTCCCTTGAGTAGAGATTATTCTTTGCCATAGTGAGTAGGAGTAGTTTTCCTGTGGAGACATGAGGACTAGGTACACTCCAGCTTGTTGAAGTAGGCCAGAACTGTTCTATGTATATCATAATAAGCATAATAAGGATGTGTTGATTTGAATCCACAGTAGACAGGATTTTTCAGACTGCTCTGAATTCTATTACACTGGTGCTGTTCTGTCCCTCTAAGGAGATCAGAATCACTGGACTATTTGAAGTATAAGGGGAAACCCTGGACCCACTTAAATCAATGGCAAAACTCCCACTAACTTCAGTGAGGTCAAGATTTCACCCATAGAGTGGACAACCCCAATCCATGGAGTTCATTCATGGAACTCTGTGATCATTTGTTTGTGTGAAAAACTAGTCATCAGCTTTCCAGGGTGGGAGTCACAGGTGTCTTCAGAGCATCACATTGCACACTATAGCTCTAGCAAATAAGTAGATTGCATCAGTGTAGGCATCTTAAAAGAAGATGGCTGTTACGAAACAATTTTTTAAGAACTGCTCCAAGTGTGTTGATTTTTAATACTGTAGGAAAGAACATCTGACAAAGGTGTCCAAAGGTGGCTTTGGCAAAATCCTTGGGGCCCTTAATACAGAAGATCTAAATCTCACCCACCTATACAAGCTCCATGGAGATATAAACTAAAGGCTAGAATCCATACAATTACTCTTCTGAACCTGTGCCGAGAGGAAGAAAATATGGACGTTCCCAGAGGCAGGATGATAATGAATTAAGCATGACCTTTGTTTTTGTTTTTTTATTATTAATTTCTTCTTGTAAGTTCAATAAACAATTTCTGCACTTTCTCCTAGTTTTATTCTTGACTAGTAGCGTCTTCAAACATGAGGAATTTTAATCTGAGGAAACATTTTAATCTAAAAGGGAAATGTGGGACTCCTCACTCCAAATCACACCTATATTGGAAAATTTTAAGGAAAATGTACTTGACTTTAGACATCTTTTTTCTTTGTCTTGATGTTACATGGCTTTCTGTGTCTTCCCCTCTTTTAAGATATTAAAAGTATGAGGAGCGTGATAATGAACTTCCTAAAGAGCCAGAAAAAATGGATGAAGAAGCAAGTCCCAAATGAGAACAATCTGTAACATCAAAAGAGCAGGCGCCTGGGAAATCAGACAGCATAGGCAACAGTAGAATGTTCGTTTTCCCCAAACTAAATAGTATCCATCCCGAGAGAAACTCTATTGCCTGACTTAGATTGGAAACTGCACAGAATGGGAACCAAAGCCCAAAATGTTCGGCTGCTTGAAAGCAGTCATAGAGGCTGGAGCAAGAGTGTCATTACACTTTCTGTCTGTATCAGGGATACTCTGAAAGGGTGTGTCTAGACTACAGGGTTTTGTAGACAAGAGTGGATTTTTGTCGACAAAACTATACCTGCATCCACACTGCCTTTGAGTTATGTCGACATAATGTCAACAAAACTCAGCAGTTTTGTCGACGTATGTAAACCTCATTCTACGAGGAATAACGCCTTTTGTTGACAGAGTTCGGTCAATGGAAAGCATTATTGCATCTACACTGTCCTGCCTCATTTGCCTCATTTGCAATGTCGACCTGCCTAATCTGCATCCCTCTACCGACAGAGGGATGCAGTCTAGACATACCCTGTACCTTTTCCAAAACCAATATATCTTTTCTTAGATAGGATGACCAGATCTACATGCAGTATTATATAGAAGAAATATGATATCTTCTGTCTTATTATTCCTTTCCTTTCCTAATGATTCCTTTTAGCTTTTTAGATTGCCACTGCACATTGAGCAGATGTTTTCAGGGAACTATCCATAGTGATTCCAAGAACTCTTTCTTGAGTGGTAACAGCTAATTTAGACCCCTTAATTTTATATGTATAGTTGGGATTATATTTTTACATGTGCATTACTTTACATTTATCAACACCAAATTCCATCTGCCATTGTGTTACCCAGTCACCCAGTTTTGTGAGATCCCTCTGTAATTTTTTGCAGTCAGCTTTGGACTTTAACTATTTTGAGTAATTTTATATCATCTGCAAATTTTGCCACTTCTCTGTTTACCTCTTTTTCAAGATCTCTTATGAATCAGTTGAACAGCACTCTGCCTGGAGTACACCACGATTTATTACTACTCTTTGTTTCCTGTCTTTTAAGTGGAGTACCTGGCAATGTTTTCCTGATCAACTAATGATCCTCCAGTTACTTGAACTACAAACCCCTTGTTATCTTAATCACTCTGCCTCCCTCTGTTTATAAACAAACTCCCTGCTCCAAAGGCAAAGCTGGGAGGCAGAGCACAAGATCTGTTGCAGTTAAGAGTCGTATCTGGGGCTAAGACATGCACTTTAAGCAGACCTCAAGAATGAAATTCAAATATTCAAATTTCACGGAGGGCTACAGACCCCCTAACTCTCCCTTAAATGATGCTCCCGGAAGGTACCTTGAGAAGCCAAGTTCAGCCCCCTGTGCTGAGGCAGGATCAAGTACATCTAGACCAGGGCTACTCAATATGCGGCCTGCAGTGCAGTTTGGATTTGCGCGGTGCTCAACATGTGGCCCGTAGGTGGGAACCAAAACAAAATGTAGTCAATATAATGGTCTTCTGTTGATATACATTTTAGTAGTTAAATTCCTGGACTGTCATTGCTCATTAACTGCTGTCATATGGGTGGAAATTTTATTAATATCAGCAGAACTGACTTAAATGGGGCCTGCATGTTGTGAAGTCTTGCCTTAATCTTTGTATTCATGCCCGTCAGTGTGGATGAAGCTATTTGCCTATATATGCATATAGATTTGCATGTGTATGCAAACACACTTAAGTTGCAGCCCTTGGCATGTACTATGAGTATCATTGTGGCCCCCGGGGCTTCCAAAATTGGATAGCTCTGATCTAGACCATCTCTGGCAGGTATTTGTCCAGCCTGTTCTTTAAAAACCTTAAATGATGGATACTCCACAACTAGGGTTGCCAGGTGTCTGGTTTTGAACCGGACAGTCCAGTATTTGAGCTTTCTGTTCAGGAAACAAATTGAGAAAATATAAATGTCCTGTATTTTCTAAATAAGATGTAATGTAGATTGTGATGTAATGTCAAGTGTGTCCGGTATTTTTGTTAAAACAATCTGGCAACCCTATCCACAACTTCCCTGGGAAGTTTTTTTTTCCTAATATCTAACCTTGATCTCCCTTGCTGTGGATTAAACTCATTACATTTTGACCTACCTTCAGTGAACACGGAGAACAATTCATCACCTTCCTCTTTATCACATTCCATAACATATCTGCAGACTGTCATCAGGTGCCCCTCAGTGGTCTTAGGACTAAGCATGCTCATTCTTCCTAGGCATAGGCGACTGGTGCCTGCGGAGGAAGTGGGTGCAGGGAGGGCCACTCAGAAAATGGAGATGCATGAGGAGGCACCCCATTTAGCAATTAAAATTTTGGTGGGGACACAAGGGGGCAGTGCACCTCCTGAGTGCTACCATGGATCAACTATGCTCCTAAGTCAGGTTCTTTAAACCTTTTAACATTGTTGATAATGGACTGACTTGGGCACAGACTCCTAGGTTCCAGCAAGAGGCGTGGTGGCATTAACAGTGCCATTTTCCTGGGTGCTGTCGATCGCCTAATTCCTTACCCTTAGTGGAACCTGAGCAGGGAAGCCCAGAAGTAGCATTATAAATTTATACCACCCAGGGACTTTCTCTTCTCTGGATGCACTGGCTTTATGGCCCTGCATACTGGGCTGTAACAACGGACACTTGGGCATAAGCATGTTTGGTGCCAAATTGAACAAGGATCCTCAAGCAGAAGTTAGAAGACTTTTCAGAGGTAAAAGAATTCTGAGGTAATTTTTTTTCAGAACAGGGATTAAAAACATCAAATCTCAGTTAATTTTGCAGGGGAGGAAGGTGAGAGACTCCAAAATAAACATTTTAATTGAATTCTGAATAATTTGGGGCCTTTACACTCTTATTGGTTTAAAAAATGCCTCAGAAATGCATGAACTGAATTTGGTGCCAAAATTATTCATTTTATATTGGGAGCTTGATGTTTTTTAATCCCTTTTCTGGAAAAAATTACCTCAGAATTCTTTTCAATGCCTGATGGATTTTTGGAAGGCTCCCCCTGCCCTCCATAAATAACTAAATAAAAATCAAGCTTTGTCAGGAATTTTCCAGGGGCATTTTTCTGTATTAGGGATTAGAAAACACAGACTTTGAGCCCAACTAAACTGAAGAACTTTTTGTTATCAAATTAAATTTGGAGCCTGCAAAAGTCCCTAAAAGGGATTTCCTTAGGTAATTAAGAAAATAAGGTGAAAAGACACACGCCGAGGGGCTCTTTTAAGAATGCCTTCCTTGAAGGGCAGAACTGGCTTCAAAATATCAACAAGGAGGCTGCAGAACCTCAAAAGCCTCCCAAAGCCAATTTCTGAGGTAAAGTGTCTTTAGAGGAAGGGTGGCAAGGCAGGGGAGCTGTTCAGAAGTGGCTTTGTCCATGGAAGCAGCTGTGGACGTGGAACAAAACAGGCAGGGCCTAGTCTGGACCAGTGACTCACAGGTTTCATCTGCAGACCCATTGTTTTGACTGGGCATCTGAGCTGAGCATTAATGTGCTACACAGGCATTGCGCCATGGCAGGGGAATCCTCAGGTACCCAGCTCTGCCAATTTTGCAAAGCAGCAGCAGTGGGGGTCAGGTCCCCTTCTGGTCATAGCAGCTAGAAAAAATGGATCTTGGGGGTGGGGGAACAGATGGAGTACATTTTATATTTTAAAAAGAGAATTGAGTCAGCACGTCCACCTTCCCCCACCCAAGGCAGTGAGGTTACTCAGAGCACTCCCGTAGCTCTCAGGAGGATGATCTTCCTCAGGCCCTTTCTGCCTCTCTCTCCTTGCTCCCTCTCTCTGCCTCATGCTCTTGTCTGCACTGGATCCTCCTCATGGACAGGCCAGCTCACTTTCTCTCTCCTGCTTTGCAGGGGCTGGAGGGCGTCCTGCTGCTGTCACTGCCCCCGTCTGCTGACCAACAACTGTGGGACATTCTGAAAGATTCTGTTCCCACCCAGCTGCTACAGAACAACCTTGAGCCTTCTGTTCCTGGCCAACACAGAATATCACCAGTCCTACAGCTCCCAACTGCCACGGAACCTTCCCCACCCTTCTGCTCCCAACTGCCACGGAACCTTCACTGCCCTTCTGCTCCCAACTGCCACGGAACCTTCACTGCCCTTCTGCTCCCAACTGCCATGGAACCTTCACTGCCCTTCAAATCCCAACTGCCATGGAACCTTCCCCGCCCTTCTGCTCCCAACTGCCACGGAACCTTCCCCACCCTTCTGCTCCCAACTGCCACGGAACCTTCACTGCCCTTCAAATCCCAACTGCCATGGAACCTTCCCCGCCCTTCTGCTCCCAACTGCCACGGAACCTTCCCCACCCTTCTGCTCTCAACTGCCACGGAACCTTCCCCACCCTTCTGCTCCCAACTGCCACGGAACCTTCTCCACCCTTCTGCTCCCAACTGCCACGGAACCTTCACTGCCCTTCTGCTCCCAACTGCCACGGAACCTTCCCCACCCTTCTGCTCCCAACTGCCACGGAACCTTCACTGCCCTTCTGCTCGCACC